ATTTTAATTCACAAAAGTTTACTATAAAAATTTGAATTTTATTTCAAGGACATATAATCAAACATATCAACATATCACTAGGAGTGTTACTAAAGTCTTGAATTTATACAACTTACCCAATCTTGCTCTAATATATCACAAAAAATGACGAATGGTTCAAATTTTTTGCACAATATCAAATCAGTATTTAAAACAATGATTGTCAATTTTCACAGTTCACAAAAGCACACAATCCTAATTTTTCACTATTTTTTTAGAAAATTTTCCAGATTTTTTCTATACTCAGCATGTTCTTCTAAAGTTACGCGTTTAGTAATGACCTTCCAAGTGTATCACTTCTCGTACTGGCATCTATTTCACAATTTACAATTTTCCGACTACACTTTTCCACAGTGTCAGTCGGTCTGATAGATTGCTCATGACGGATGAATTTTCTCGAAGGGTTTATAACAGTTCCTTTTAGTGAACTATACTGTATTTATTGTTTGTCATCTCGAGCAAAAATAGTAGATACATCGGTGGGTTTTGGTGAATATTTTGGAAAAATTGGAAACGATTATACAAAGATAGTGTCTCTGGTGTAGATGACAAAATGGCAGTCCTTGGGAAAATTGAAACAGAATTTAATAATTTTTGTTATGGCATAAAATATATGTAACAACGTGGTGTTGATGCATATTTAATTTAAAACCTATTATTTTCAAATATGAAAAATTTAAAGTCTAATTTTTTTTGACAAGGTTACCCCCAAGTCAATCACTTTTTATAAATAATTTTATCTAATTTATTTTTTTATTACGAATTCTATTGACCGAATTGATTGAATAATACGCGACCGATATGATGTATTATCAGAATTTTAATTTTTTATAATAAAATGAATTTTTAATACTATTTCGTATTTTTTAATAATTTTTTTCTAAAACTTTGTCTCCTTCCCAGTAACGCGCGCGCCGGCAAAACCGGACTTACTGTTGCACGTTCGCCTGGCAGAGCCGCTTGTTGCGCTCGGCTACGTTTGTGTATGTTTTCGTAGGCATTTGTGTGTGCTACGTCTGTATTTGTGTGTGCTACGTCTGTATTTGTATTTGCTTCATCCGTATTTGTATGTGCTACGCCTGTATTTGTGCAATCTACGCTAGAAATTGCGTGATCTACGTCGGCGTTTGTATGTTCCATGTCGGCATTTGTTTGTGCTACGCCTGTATTTGTGGTGCTACGCGTGTGACTGTATCCGTTGCGTCTGTATTTGTATCTGCTCCACGTATATTTATTTAAATTGCGCCTGTATTTGTGTATGTTATGTATGTATTTGTGTTTGCTACGCCTGTGCATATATACCTATGTCTGTTTTTGTGGATGCTACGACTATACTTGTGTACTCGTCTTCACTATGTCTTCACATGTATTATTCTTGTCGGGATTAGTATTCTCTACGTGTATTTGTGTATTTTACATCTGTGTTATGTTTGTATTTGTCACATTATTAAAGTTTGATTTCGTGTTGGTTTTTGCTCGTAAGTGTTCGTGAAATGTCGCGACGGAGTCGGCGCCGAAATGGAGTCTTCGTAGAAGTTTTACATTCGTGTATAAGTTACGTTTTTATATTAAGTTTAAATATATAGTCAAAACTTTTGGGAGTAATTTGCATAAAATGATCTACCTTGTTACAATATAGAAGATGAATGGAATTATTACGGTTATTATCGATTGTTTTTTCCTAAAGGCATATTTTTGCTAATAGTATTAACAAGTGTATAGTCTAACTAAAAATATCTTAAAGAATTTTACTAAATCTGATGTATAGAGTTTTTACATTCAGTACTAAATAAAAAGTCAGAATTTATTCAAACGGAGTCAGAATAAAGTTTGATAAGTCAAAGTTACAAATATGCTTAACACAATCGCGGATAGTAAAAGCTTCATCAAAGGCATAAAAATTGAAAATGATTTTATTTTTAAATTGGTTGTGTTATCCGAAATATGATTAAACATTGTTCATAAGGTTAGTCAGGTTATCATTATTAATCGTTATATACGATGAATGCTATAGCATCCACGTAAAGTATTGCGCTTCTACTTTACGCTTGCATAATCTAATTTATAACTACGGAAAAATATAAGATAATAATTCAGAGTGAATTCAAATTAAAACATCAGTGAATTTAAATTTAAAATAATTGACTTTAAAATTTGAATGCTATAGCATTCATGTCCTTCTTTATCACAATGGAAATAAAAGCAAAAAAAATCATTTCAATTTTATTAGAATCATGGTTATTGAGTTAATAATTTACGTAATAAAATATATGTATTATATTTTAAAATAGTGTTATAAAATTATTTTTTTTTGTCTATTGATATATGATGGAAGAAATGTAATAAAGACAGATTATCATACATTGTATGCTAATGCGCATAATATCCAAAGTATGTATTATAATTCTAAAATTTGTTTATCTAACATTTATTTAATAGACATTTGTCTAACAAAAAAATAAAACATCTTTTCTTCTTTTTGAGAACCTTTGGTATATCGTAAACGTCGAACCGTTTTATTCACCAGGGTGCCGTACGCCGCTGGGTTATGAGGTCCACCCCGAAACCGAAGGGTCAATTCGCCCTTGTAAATAATTCGAACGATAAATGGCATTAAAATTAATATACAGTGGGTTAATTCGATCCACGTTTAGGTCTCGATAGTGATGAATGATTTATTCATTATTGTTTTATTAGAGAGAGAAATGAAGTAATTGATATATTGGTAGCTGATATTATGTATATATATATATATATATATATATATATATATATATATATATATATACTATATATGAACCCCAACCAATTAAATACGATGTTAACCGAACATATTAATATATTCTACTATATAATATATTTTTTTCAACCCAAAAATTATTAGATTATTCTTAACATAACATATAATATTACCACTGAATAAAATTTAAAAAATCTATTATTTTTCATTTTCAAAGAGTTACGATAATATTCTACGTTATTTTGTCGTTGGTGATTTATTTGGAAATTATTGATAATAATTTACATATTTTTGCATTTAATCAGATATAATTACTTGATCTTACACCATTTCCAACACAAATGTTAAACTTCAAGTAGTTCCATCAAAAGTATGAGAATTCAGCATTGTGTTTATACAAAAACTTTTGAAAGTCAAACTTATGGCTTGATTTTATGCAAAGTCAGTTTCTTAGAACGTAAAGTTTTGAAAGCAGTTGAGAACTTATTTTGAAGTTATTAAACATCAATTTTATTCACTTTTACTTTTAAATTAGTTTATAAATTTATTGGAAATTAGCTAAATTAATTTTGATTTCTTTTGCACAATTATTATAAAATATTTTGTTTGTTTGTTTTTTTTTTATTTAACCACTGTTTATATAAACAATAACCATAAGTGATTAAATATATAATTAACTTCCACTTGTATTGGTTCATAAATTGAAAATTAGTTTTATAATGAAAATAAATATAACAACTTTTTACTTCATAATATTATGTAATATATGACAAGAAAACTATTGATATTATATTTATATTAGAAAATGTTTAATAATAAATTATTCTCGAAATTCTTCCAGACTATATTTATAACTTCTAGTATTTATTTTAGCACAGATTATTATTTATTTATGAACATGAGGTATTTTTATGTACATTATACGAGAATATAATTTAGTGTATGTCAAATGATGATGTATTGATCCAATTAATTCGTAGACGAAATTAGGAGATTCCAATATATATATATATATATATATATATATATATATATATATACCAAAACTTACGTACTGATTTGCATAAAAATTATAAAATTGAAGTTCTTTAAATTTCATCAATTTATCTTAAGGCATACATCACTAGTTTTTATTATATTTTTAACATCCCGTAGGGTAAGTTATTGTAATCGTCCAAAAATCGAAATTGAAAATTTTTGCATTTCTCGACGTTTTGAAGGTTTTTGAACATTTTGGCATACCTCAGAAAAAATGGATGTGTATGTGTATGTGTGTGTGTGTGTGTATTTTGTATGTCCGACGAACGGATCGATTCCTATTGACAGAGAAATGTGCTGATTCGTTTTTGGTAAAGGCAGATCCAGTGGTTTTGGAGATGCAGAGCTAAATGTGCAAAAAATGATAGTTTTTTGAGAGAACTAAGCGTCCGATTTGAATGATTCAAAGAACTTTGTTTTTTGTTAACAAAATAATTGCTTTTGAAAAAAAAAATTGTTTCAATTTTTTTTTAAAAAATTTTTTTTCTTGTACTTCGAAAATAATTCAGATTTTAATTTTAATTTTGACTAAAGTTCTAATATACTTTAAACAAATAATTTCAACTATGCAATTCAGTTTATATAATTCTCATAAATATTAGACAATGTTACAATATTTAAAAAAATATAAATTGAATTGATAAACATTATTTGATGTTAGATTTATATTTGGTTAACATTATAATTGATGTAAAGTGATAATTTATTTGGCAAAGTTGTACAATTTTCATATAATAAAACATATGATATCACGTTACATAGGTGCTAATAATATTTAATTGAAACCTGAGCATTCATTTTAAATAAAATCAACAGTTAAGTGTACGTTTATTATTGTATAAAATTTGTACCATTATTGATAATTTAAATCAACAATTATTTTAAAATTGTGTTGATAAAATAAATGAAACTTGATATGTTGCTAGAAAATATTTGCATTTATTTTAAAAATGTATAGTTGTATAAGTATGGTACAATATGACATAAAATGCCCATAATAAAAATGTTTGTATTTTGCATACTTTATATGGTTTAATATAGTAAAATTACAATCAAATTTAGGTTAATAAACTTTATTTGTATAATTTATTAGTTGCACAAAACTTCTTCCATAATAAACACTTCAATTTTTTTCAAAATACTTTTGATATTATTGTAATTTATTTTATTTCTTATTTTTTAGATGTGGTGCTTAGACCTATGGCCGATCCACGACAAGTTTCCAGTTCGCTACTCGCTTCGGACAGCCCGATGTCAAGCAGTAAGTGACAAATATTTTTACGTGAAAATATAGATAGCAATATGTTCACAAGTAATTACTTGAATAGTTTAATCTATTCTTTTAAAAGTTTCTTGTTACCAAAAAAAAAACATCATGAAAAAAATATTTTGTTTGAAAGTGATAAAAATAGACCTTGTCCAAAAATGAAATCTAAATATTATTTGTTGATGGTGAAAAAGAGCCCAACTATTCTGCAACACCATAAAGAAATTTTTAATGTTTTTTTCTAATGTAGCATGAAAGTTGTTGTTTTTACATTTGAGCACATAAGATTTATCAGCATGTATTTTTCAAGCTTTTCTTCATATCTAGTAACATAATGGACTTGCTCGGCCGTGTAATCATTAGCCGAAATATTCCCGGCATGTTTCCCTAGAAGTGTCAGTCCATGTAGGTTTATCATGGTTCATATGACCTATAGAATGTGTCGCTGAAGATCTCCTGATTTAGATGCGTAATGATCTGACGTGACTCGAATATATTTAGTAAATTCATTCAATTAGGACCGAGCGTAGGATATTCCCAAAACACACGAAAATAAATGTAAACATAGGGCTGATGGATATTCAGACAATATTTTTTTTATTTCAAAAAACTAATGTAACATCTTTTTGCCATTAACTATAGGTAATTCTAACACATGTCTTGAATATACTACATACATAACAAGTGTCTTGGACAAATATATTGGTAGAACATTCTCGGAGTTGTAATATCACAACTTTATGTATTCTAATTTAGGTCATTTAGAAATTTTTCTAATTCTGGTCCAAAACATGGAATGAATAATATGTTGATGTTATGAAGTACTAAGATAGAATCATTTATATATTTAAAACAAATCAAACTAGAGAAGTTACACGTGATTATTAGATTCTTCTAATAAATAATAAAACGTCAATTCCAAATTTAAGATTATGGATCCATAAACTGCTTCTTGCGCCCCATTTGAGATGATCTAAAACTATTCTTTATTAAATTCCTGTAGGGCAAGTTATAGTAATGGTCCAAAAATCGAAAAAGAAAATTTTTGCATATCTCAGGGTTTCTGAACATTTTGGTATATCTCAGAAAACATTGACGGGTGTTTGTGTGTGGATACAATTTTTTGTCGACGTTTTGGGACTACCGCTCAACCGATTTCAATAATTGAAAAAGCAATGGATTCTTTCTAATGGGGATTAGTGATGCTTAGTTATTAGGAAAAGAAAATGGAAACTTGTTTTTTACGAGAAACAGGCATTCGATTGGAATGATTCACATAACATTCAATTCAGGCAAAGGGGTGATTAGTTTTTGACAAAGACAAGTCCCGCAGTTTCAAAAATACGGAGATAAATGTGTGAAAATTTTAATTAGCAATTTTTTTTGATATCGAAAATAATTCAATATCAATTTTAATTCTAGCTAAATATGTGGAATTATTAATTTTAACTTTGCAATTCTGTTAGCGCGAGCAAGCTGCTTTGTCGGATTCGGACAACACTAATCTCTGGCAATTCCAAAATTGGAAGATTTGTATATAAGCGGTAATCATTAGCGTTTATGCACACGCTTTTTTGTTCATGTACGTTGTTCACTTATTTTTCCGTATGAGTTTGTTGTATTTTCCGAGTGTTATCTGTTATTCATGTTAATATATTCATTATTAATCGCAGCAAGTTTTTCTTATTATGCCTCTGGAGTCAATTTCTTCCTCAGAATCCAGTTCCTACATCCGACTGGGCCGTCTTCTAAGCAGATAACATCAATTGTTTCCTATATATACTCAATTTTACAAAATCCTCGGAATAGCTATTGAATCAAACACAATAAGCTATTCCGAAAGGGTCTAATCAACCCCCATCTTTAACAATTCAGTTTATATAATTCTTATAATTATGAGACTACATTCTTCATTCTAACTCCCCTTCGAAGGGAATTACTAAGTTTTATTTATTTACTTTTCATGTAAATTTCTATGAACATCATCGTAATAATTAGGAAATGCAATTTCGATGGAAAATTTCAATACCGGTATTTTGGTAATTTTTCATTTTAAAACCGGAATACTGGTAAATTACCGGTATTTTTATTATCTTAAACAAACGTAAACAAAATTGAAAGTTACTAGTACAAATATAAAAAAATGTACATACAACTACAACTATATTCAACTAAACAATAAAAATAATAAAATAAAACAATAAGTTTATTTTTTAAATAATAATTTAACAAAAGTATATCTAATTTAGTTAATCCATTATCACTATCGAGTATATAGAGTACTTTTAACCAAAAACAAACTTAAGAGTAAAAAAGACCAAAAACTCATAAAAGATCATATTACATCATTATAATAAACTGTATTATCTGTATCCGATGTGTTAAATTAGCATAATCTCCAATATTTTGAAAAAATCATTTTTCTACACTAATTTAAGTTGGATGCTTTGTTGAGATGAATAATAAGTTACTATAATTGTTGAGTATTGTTATTTAAAACAATGTGATGCTTCCATAGTATTTTCAAACTTCGAAACGTTTTCGAAAAATAATATTTTATAATTATAATAAGAAGCAAAAATATTTAGTAATTATCATAATTATTATGTATAAAATTAGAGAAAAATAAAGATTACGTAGGGGTAATCTGTATGATATAAAATATTTTGGCGCAAATATTACTTGAAAAACCGTTACATTTTTACATAAGATGAAACAAACATCATTATCCAATCTACTTATTCTATTTATTGTAACACGATGTGAAGCCCTTAGTAAAAGCAATAAATATTCAGTTCATTGATGAGTTGAGATAATATTTGACATTTATCTTATAGAATCACTTGAAGATATAGCTGTTTATGCGATTATGGAATTTAAATATAAATTTGTTCCGAGAAATTTAAACTTCAGTGTATTATGTATCAAATAGCGCTTATGTAAAAATACCGAAAATATCGGTATTTTTAGGGTAAATACCGGTAAAAATACCGCCGAAAAATCGGGCGGTTTACCGGTAATTCGGTATACCGGTATACCGGTATTGCATTCCCTAGTAACAATAATAGTTACTGTATTTATAATAATATATTTGAAAATATTTCAAAGTTTCAAAAATTTGTCTTAAAGCACGATGCCATACATAACTAGTTATATTATTGTATAATTCGTAAACATACCATTCTTGTTTTATTTATGGTTCCTACGCTACATAATTATGTTGCCTAATTTTCAAACAAAAATAATCGTTCAGGTTATATAATATATATATATATATATATATATATATATATATATATATATCCACCGCCTCTTGTTCCTCTTACCTGGCGCCGATTGCGCACGTGCCTGGTTTTGCGCGAGGCACAGGCGTTGACGAACCGCGAGCAAGGCGACCCCTACGCCTGAATTATCATAACATGACGAGCGATGCGTCAACTTTGGACATAAATAATAACGACTCAGGAGATGATGATATGAATCGTTGAGCATGTTCTAATGTTGGAGAAACTAATTTTATGATTACCGAATGAAATGAAATGAGAGCCAAAATTATGATGTTAAAATATGATAAATTGCAGATCGTAAGGGGACCGATTCTGCCGCATAACAGAAAAATGTTATGGCAAGGCCATGTTAAGCTCTAACTTCTATACATTATGCTACTGAATCATACTGAATACTGCTAAAATGTCATGTATTTGCTGTGTATTCAGGCGTTTTGCACATAAACTGCAATGTCACTCGTATGTTATGAAGCTGTGTCAGAAAGGCTCTGTTATCTATGATCATTTTTTGACGTTTGCCCGGTTTCAAGGTTATGTTTTCTATATACAATCTGAGACATACGCCTGACTGCACATCAATCATATGGCTTATGTCAATATTTAGTATGGAAAGTTTTTTATAGCATGGCCTTGCCATAACATTGGTATGTTATGCGGCAGAATCGGCCCATAAGTTGAAATATCGATTCAGTACAATATTTTACTGGTCAAAATTTGAATGTTTTGTTGAAGAAACATTATATGCCTTGATTAGATTGTAAATACAAATTCTAGTTCAATGAATTTATTTAGAGGTGGGGCCTTCTCATAAAAGATGTAATTGCAAGATGTGTTATATTGAACTAGATAAAATTCGGTTATTCCTTAGGTGTAAAATGATGAAAAATTATGTTTGTCGTAAGTTTAATTTAATTCATAATTTTAATTTAATTCATGATTTCAAATTAATCTAATATATAAACTTATCACACCTTTTTGAAACAACTATTTGGGTTGCCATCTATAAAACCGACGTACAATTAAGTCAAATTGCTTATAGAACTCATAAGTTTGGATTCCTGTTTAATAATATTTAAATTTTTAAATTAATTTAAATTTAGAAACTTATTTAATATTAATGAAATTATTAAACATTTCAAGGTAATTACTTACAGCGACAAAGAACATTTTTTCGCTCATAACATCTGATATTTTGTCGATAAATTGCAAAAATATTTATAAAAAGTTTTCCCAGAACTCAACGTCAAACTAAAAAATTAGAAAAAAAAAAATTACGTTATTTGGAAATTATGTGCTTTTAGGTTCAACCTAGAGCGTTAGTGATGTGGTAACCATTTTTCGGTAACCACAGTGAAAAAATAATGATACAGATGTCCCTAATTTTTAAGAATTTTTAAAGTTGGTCGACGTTGACCAGCTCTACTAAAGAAAAATGTACAAAAATATGCTAGCAAGATTCACCAAAAGATGGCGCATTTAATTAGGATTTTAAAATAGCAAAATACTTGATGTTTTCATTATAAAAAAATTGTTTAAAAAATAAAAATCTAAAAATGACAAAATTGACATAATGAAAAATTTCAGGAGAGTTACGGTCAATATTATCATCGCGTTTTGGCTTGGCATTGAGTTCTGGGATACTCTGTGTAATCTAGAACCAAATTAATATTTTTAAAATATTTTGATATTGATGGTTGATGAATTTGCATGTGTAT